TCTCTTAGGAATGTGATAAGTGTACTCACAAAAAATAACTATGCAGAGCTTGCGTGTGCGCGGAGCATGCACCAAGAATTTTAGCAGCCATACGTGACCAAGAAGTAAGGGAGTTCATTAGTGTCTCATCGTGAACTGTAGAATATTTTTGCAAGCGAATAGTGGACTTAAAATGCTACGGTGACGGATGACTCATCTCAGCGCTTAGTTCATTGACCTCCTGTAATGTAACTTACAGCGACCGATATCGTTCCAGCAAGGAACTTAACGAGAAATTACTTTTATAATTTATTGATTACCGAGCTCGTTCCTGGTCTTGAACGGATATTAATAAATAAAATTATAATTAAATATAGGTAAAGAGTCATTCATCTTATTGTAAGATTAAAATGACTCATTGAAGAGTTATAAAGTGACGCATTGAATTTGTGAGTAATTCGTAGTAAGTTACGCGCAATGGTTGGAATTGTATCACTATTTTGATGACTCATTTCTATCTGCAACATGTCCCTATACGAGTGTACCAGCAGATCCCTGTTGTGCGTGCGGTTTAATCCCTACCGGACTGCTAACAGCATTTCATATGCAAACGGCAAACTCTGCCCGCGTTCTGTTTACAAAGCGCAAAACTTTTTCGTTGGGGGAGCAAAACTTGGTCCATTTGCAATCATTTTGAGGTTGAATAAAAAATACATTCGTGTCCACGTTAAACTTTTGCTACGGTAATGAACTACATAGATAAGACTGTTTGTTTTAAATTCGTATTACAGCTTATTTAAAATTACTTTTAACAATGAATAAAATAGAAATGGCTTTCAGAAATATGAATGTAACTTGATAAATTTGCTTTTGTTCCTTGCACTTAACTCAATACAAGGAACTTAGGTAATAAGTAAGATATTGCACAATGTTATAATACTTGAACAGTCCCTTCAGCAGGCAAAGTTGCTCGGTAGTAATTAATGTAAAGTTCGAAAGCTCCCGACCCATATAAACGCAAAGTTAACAGCCATCGGGTATTATACGTACACAAAGTTTTAATGTAGATAATTTGCTATTGTAAGCAAATCCAAGTTGTAGAAAGAGACGTTAGCAACGCAAGTAGAAATAATTCGTTGAAACTCATTAAAATGCGCTGACCGAAACCATCATAGATGAGAAGGAATTAATGATGACAAAAAATGTGTGAGATTATTTAAAATTCATACTTTGTCAAGGTCGTTGCTATTAACATAACCGGAACCGTTGAATAGATACATATTTCTTCGTAAAGAAATATCGATTTGTTTCCAGAGCACGTTTAGTTTGATCATAAGACTAATTTATTGTACACTGTTTTAATATTTCATTCACTCATTTTAAACAACGATCGATTATGCTGCTATTGTAGTGTAATAAAAATGGGTTCAAATTCATCGCACGGCATCGTTTTTGAAAAATTCATATAGGTCATCTAACACTGGCATCACCCGTAGTTGCAAGTCATGTTTTAGTATATCTTTCAAATACGTGACCAACTTACTCACGACCTATTTAAAAACTGGGTTGTTTTGTGATGTCATCGGATGGCAAAATACCTATGAACATTATTAGGAAGGCTGTTCTGGAATTATGATAAAATCTAAAGACGAGAGGTTGTATAAAATGGGGGGACATTTCCATTTTCCTCAGCGTTCCCGAGACCCTGCTTGCAATAAATATGTAATGGAGGTACCCGGTATCGATTGCACTAGAGGGGAGTTTTTATTACTGAACAAGCATGACATCAGCAACAATTTGTTTCATGACATATTTCGTATTATTTTGTCAGCATAAAATTATACGGAGGTAATTAACTTATGCTATGTTGAAATAAAAAGAGTCCAATAATTATTGGAGTTCCCTGAAACCTGCGTAATTTGAGGTTTAATTAATTTTAGATTATAGAAAAAGATTTTACTTTTTCAACAGGAAATGTTTATGTAATTAAATGTTACATTTTCGTCGATATCAATAGTCCTACAATAACACCTTAGTATACGGAATATTGCATTTATAACTATCAAGATAATAGTCCTTACGTTCGGATTATCTTGAAATTGAATCTAATTTGAATTTCAAACCAAATTGTTTTCTAACCGTTTATCAGAGTATTATCCGTTGGGGGAACCTCGATGCCGACCGAGCGATTAATGAAACCTTTTTTAGCAAGTGATGGCAGATCCCAATCCTGAATTAAACGTCGAAAGTGGCAGAGATAAAGGGATTAGTTTAAAATTCCGAAGAATCATGTTTTTACGCCAGGTACATCTAGCTAGATTGAGATTATTGAGCCAAAACTTTAAAATCAACGAACAAAATCTGCTAGTTTAATAATTACTTTGTATTGCTCTACCAAACGATCTGTTAAATGAAAATGTTAGTTACTAATGAATACATTACTTTGATTATTTAATTGTACCCAAAAGCATAAACTAATGAGCAACTAGGGCTGCAACCCCATGTCGGTTTATGGTCGTTCGAGGGTACTAGAGTCCTGAATAAATAAAATGCAATTAGACTAGGGTGCCGCCTCATAGCAACACGTTTCGCGCTTCTGTGAGAGCAAACATTTAGTATAAAAACTCTGATTTATCACCAAAGAATAAAACGGAAAGGGGAGGTGTGATTATCAATTTAAATGTAATACGAACAATACACTTTTCCTTACCGACCTACCGGTGTTGGGACTTATTTGAGAGGCTTTAAATTGTCGCAACCTATATTATACGCGCAATTACATGGGACACTGTGCAGTCGTCCACCATAATGGGATAACCTATGAGTTGATGGGTCGTGTTTCAAGCTGCTAATTCGGAAGCAGGTTGCGAAAAGGACGGGCCACGTGCGGGGCGTCGCCATGGCAACAGAGGAAACTACGCAGTTCTACGACCCCCCACCCTCGGGAACGACCTATAGTCTCGACATTTTCAAGGCAGCCGTGTGGATAAGGCTGTTAGTTATACTTCTGGGCTTGATGTTTTCGTTTACTTACAAAACTCTCCAAACGAAAGTTCATTTACAAATACTTAACTCAATTCAAAAGATTTTTTCTTGTTATGAATTCACCTAACCTATCTACTAAAGTTTCACTAGGAATTTATTTTTATCGTCAAGCATAAAAGGGAACCGTAACATCAATATAATACTTCTGAGGGATCCTCATCAAATCAGTGGCCCGTGATAATAACTCTATTATACAAAGAGATGCGAGATTTTGTCAGGCAATTTGGATGAGTGAGGGGGTGGTTACCACCAACACATGAACAACCACATTGTGCGTCAAAATGTCATAAATTTATGGGCGGCTTTGTTGTTGGAGTGAGCGATCTAAATATGTTAGTCTAAATGTAGATATAAATTATTTTTGGAACTTTTTAGGATTTTTTTGTTATCAACAATCATATCAACTTAAAAAACAAAATAATCAAAAACGTTTAAAAACAGCACATAAAAAACAAAAGCTGATCGTATTTTTAAAGCCCTTGCCTCTTGGTTATTTGACCCCTATCAAGACAATTGCCTGTCCATCGGCTTCCCCTTGCATTATTGGAAATCCCGGCTGCCTCGCGCGCTCTTGTGGTTAACTGAGCAATCTTCAAAATGGGACTATAAACCACATACACATGCGAAATTTATTCCTAATACATTGCTTATACAAACGAAACATGCCGTATGGGAAACATAGGGCAGAGAAATAACATGGTTCACTTAAACCTTTACTAAAACTACGATTCGCTACGACAGTCATAGCCCTACAGAAGAAATTCCACGAGAAAAAATTACAATGGAATTCGTATAAATTGATTAGATACACAGCTGTGTCAGTTAATGACCTATTACTAACAAAGACCTCGATGACGGTTCGTCCGGATGTCGGCAACTCTTCTAGTTAATTGACGATCGATCAAAAATGTTTGGGTCACTGCACTGTAGCTTTGCAAATACGGAACAGAGAACAACGGTAATTAAGTGGAGTGAACTATGCGCTTCCCGTGCACATTGTAATTATTACACCGGAGACAAGATATAAGACGCAGGGATCTGGTTTCCAAGTGTGCATTGTAGCAGTCGCAGACAATAGGACCGTTGCCGTGGCGAAGGCCGACTCAACACCGCATAATGACTGCATTATAAAACGTAGTTGCATCAACTTTAACACGCATTCTTACCATGTGTTACATAATCTAGGATTTTTCCAGAATGATTTGACTTATTATGTTCATCAATTATTATGTTGGTGAATATTTTATAAAATGTAAATATATTCTATTGCAATGCTCACGGCATATAAATATGTCTTTATTTCCATTGTATTGTTATGTTATGTAAAACCACAAGTATGTTTTACTATTGGCAGTTTTGCGGTTTCAAACATTTCCATTTGAATACTTTTCTGTTATCAGTCGTTAGTTGATTCAACAGTATAGGTACTTTCGCAAATATCAGCCTTGTACACCTCGCTTAAGTTACATATATGCCTATGAACTTGACTTTTAAATAAGAAATTATGACTAATCCTAACAGCCGTTTAAACATGATACTATTGTGCATCTGTTGCATAAAAGAGCAACAAAACGTAAAATAGACAGCTGCAACTTGCGACCACTTTAATGAAGCTAGTTTTTATTGCAAAATTCTCGGCGTTTGCGACCATTAAATAATTATCTTCCTTGTTACAACTGTTACCAACCTGATACGAAGAAGGCAGTAATCAAATACATTAGAAGTACCCGATTATACGTAAGAAATTCTTACCACTTCCTGGCTAGTTCATAACATTAAATAGGTTTTCTAAAGCTGAACAGTTACGTCAGTCGCATTTAGAAGATATTTTTATTTACGTAACAAATTAAGGACAAGGTCTTGTTTGTATGAGGATCCGACCAAAATAGTATCGATTGAACTAAATGACAATTCGTTTAACGCAACTGGAACGTAACGACAACAACGAAACTCACAAACATATTTTTTTGTTACAGATTTGGTGCAGCAGCTCCGATAAGTTGCAAACCTGGAAATTTTATAGCCTTTCCATATAAGGTATATGCCGTTTTATCAATTTAAAATATTTTAGCGATCAAATGGTAATATAATGTAATTTGATAATGGTGACAGCGTTTTTTATGATCCACAATTTAATAAACACGTTGTGTAATACCTCACAGCATGATAATCAGTTTGAACTTGGCAAAGTCAATTACAATTTGTAACACAGTCACGGCGTAATTTCACAGTAGACATACCAAACATGCCTGAACAACTGAAGCGAGACGCAGTCGACGCAAAAAGCACACGAAATTGTCAATTCAGTGGAATGTTTTGGTGATGCCATCGGCAATCTAAAAATAGTCACGACGAGCACGTTCGTGAGTGGCCCACTATCATCCTGTCAGGAGTCAGGACGGGCCACAATTGGCCTCTCCATATCAAACAAGTGCCGGATCTGCATCGCGAGTTACGCAAATGACCATTATCCTAACGACTTAATAGGGAAATGTCTACAGAATTCGCCTGGAAAACTCTACAGGACGGTTCTGGATGCAACTGCTTATTTTTTATGTAACAATGTAAAATAATACTAAGTGCTTACATTGTGTATCTTATGATATACAAGATTCAAGACCTACTGTTTTCGAGTTGCAACTATTGTTGAAGGTTATAGTATATAGCAATAGATTAGATAATATTTCTAATTCAGAAAGTGCAACTAAAATTGGGGCAATGTGCCGTCAGCAAATCATAAGTGCTACTATTACCGACAATCAGACGGCGACCTTGCTGCTCGTTGTCGCGCAAATCGTGGGGAGCCCCAGATTGTCATCCTCTCCATTCCGGCATCCGCTTTTGCACTTCATTACATAATATCTCAGATCCAAGTGTTTTATACTCGTTAAACTAGATGAATAACTACACAATGTAACTTATTGTTAGCTAATTTTCCTCAAATCGTCTCGATATATTATTCTTGACATTTACAATCGTCAAATTACCAACGGTTTGGTTAGATGTTTATACGGTTGTCCGGCTCAATAAAGTTCTAAAACACGTTTGTCAGTCGTGTGCGTATACATATTGCGGACGCTCGAACACGACACGTTCTAAAATGGACAACGACTTGTCTGTGCGGCTCAACAAATTGCCGTAATCAATATGACTTATCTTCAGCAATTGAGGTGTCGGTTTTCACCCGATATAATGCACTATACTTTCTAATGTTTGTAGACCATAATGTTGCTGTTTCGTGTCAAGAATTTGAGAAATTGTTACAAATTATCTTCTTAAATAACTACGATACGAATGCAATTAACTCTTAAGGCCGAAACGATAAGATCAATAAATACTTCTATATCCTTCCTACATGGACCATTATTAGCATACACTTTAACTTCCATATCAAAATTGAATATAAAAATACTAGCCCGCGGCTTCGACCGCGTGGAATGTTGATAAAAAGTATTATGCGCTAATCCGGAGTGTCTCATATCCCTGTGCCAAATTTCATCCAGATCCGTCCAGCCGTTTTGGCGTGATTGAGTAACAAACATCTAAACATCGTAACTTTCGCATTTTTAATGTTAGTAAGATAAGAGAGTAAGAAGTAAGATTTTGGTTTATGGCTACACAACTACATACATATAAATAACACTAGTACCTAATATAGTTTTTGCTGTATAAATAATGTCGTTTAGGAGACAGGTTGGTTAAGTACCGAAATAATTAAGAGCGTCAAAAAGTTGTCGTTCAACAAAAGCTTATTTGAACTGGTCAAACAACTTTGGTTGGTAATGTTTTGTCGGGTGTGCACAATGAAGATTCATCGATAGGTATGTTTGTTTTAGTACAGGTTGAAGCTTCCGATAGTGATAATTCAATGTACATACAAATACCATGAATATAAACGATATATCTAAATATATGTTGATATCAAATATTCACACCGGCATACAAAGAAGCGTTGTTGATGTACATTATGCATGCCTTATGTATGTTGTTGGACAACTCTTTCTTGGTTTCTGATGTAACATAGAAATATTCATCTATGTGAACATCCATATTACTAGCATGGCAACGCGTTATTCGTAGTCATAGATATGTGAACGCAAACACACACCTCTGACAAGATTCACAAGTTATTTCTAGTTCGCTACACGAAGTTCGCTATCCCCACATTGCGAGCATCTAATAACTAAATTGTAAGCTAACATCTAACTACATAATTTCTAATAAATCTTTCGTTCCTTCATTTAACCGCGTTTGACATGGAAAATTGCTACCTCTAGCATCGGTCCGAGGATCGGCTCGGGCGGCAGGTGCGATGATACGGACTCTATTCGAGCTGGTGTTAATTAGCCCCTTGCCGGTTGATTTATTGCCTAACTTTGTCTTAGGATAAACCGTGCTTAATTTATCTAAGCACAGACTCAGTACGGCCGATGACGCGCGAAAATTGTGGACGTCCGTTTAGATACAGATAATAAATTATGCAGCGCTTAAAGAATATCTATAGGCAATTCACTTTGATTACGATAAGAATAAAAGTAATGGAGCAGGTTTTACTCTCGTGTAATCTGTGTGAATAAACTGTGGAAAACAGGTTACTAGGATACTTCATTCAAAGACTCTTAATTCTTCGCGTAATATAAAAATAGAACGTAGTGACATCGTTGAATCTTATATTAAGATCTCAAAAACGACTTTAGTGATTTCAAGCACGAAATTGCCTTGTAACAACTCCAATGAATAACATTGATTAAAATCTAAAGAAGACATGACTCAGGCGGTACCCTTTCCTTTACTTAAATCTCTTTTAGACGGTACAATGAACTTTTAACGGAAATTACTGCAGGAACCCGAACTGTAATTATAATTAAACAGTTTTGCCGTTATTATCATGGGACATCTCCCGACACCGTCACGCCTCGCGGTTGCTACTGCAAACTCGATGCGAACAAATACTGCCCGCCCAAACGGAACTATCTCATTCATAATTTTAACAAGCGGAAGTTAACTGTTTTGTAAAGCATTGAAATAAGCAAAAAATATCTGAATACAGCGTATGTTCCGACAGTGACTAAGTTGTCGATGACCCCTATTAAGGTAATGGAAAATGTAGCTGAGTAGCATGTGGGCCACGAACACCATCGCGTGTTGGACGTGGACTTACCGCTCTTACTACGTCCACCACGGCATTATGATTATAGTCTCACAACATCCGTTTTATCAACTACATGCAGATTTCATTGAAGACTAATGCATATGCAGCGCGAGAAAATATGAAATAGCATAAGGAAATATAACAAACCAACAGATAAGCACGCCCTTCCTGTTTCAAACGATAAGAAGACGTACATTCTTATGCAAACTGTTTGTGACAATTCTCGAAAGTGCCGTCTAAGTATACAATGTACTTATGTGATAAAGTAACGTTCAATTTTATTTGATTGGCGCTCATTGAGCACTTAATTGTGTTGTCAACTACGTCTACGAGCTCAAGGCGACATCCTCAACAAGCCACAAAGCCCGCATCCCATTGTTTTAAAAGCTTTCAAGAGATACGCAAGTACGCTCAAGACTCTCCAGAGTCGCGACGACACCCCTCGGTCAACGACGTACACATCTAATGATTTCATAAATGGTATAAATAACACAGATACAAGATTAATGAATAGTGACCATTTGAAGATATTCAATAGTTAATGTCACTAATTAGGTTGCTGTACGAATATGCTAGGATTTCCATTTTGGCTTTTAAAATCAACGAATCTGTGTATTTACGGTCCATTAACATTATGTTGCAATCTATACAAGAATCTGAGGCGCCATAGTGTTCCAGCATATGAAGCAACCAAAGCATGCATGAAGTTGTTCCCACGCTATCAGCTGGTTCACGCGCCAGCGCGCACGCGCAACGGCCCGCAACACTTCCAGCGTCATTGCCTACCCGATAACAAACTGCACTGATCAAGAGCTAGCCATTAATCATTAATCAAAGTAGGAATAACGCCAATATGCAAAACTACGTTGGAAAAATAATAAAAAATAAAAATTAGGCTTGCCAGTTTTGCATCCGGAGAGAATCCAGAGACTAGTAATAAAGAGAATGATTTATGAGTGAGCGAGCAATGGTACAAGAGACGATGGCACCCGGGAGAGCAATTCGCAGTACCACCGCGACAAAAACATATCATCGACATTCGCTGGGCTTACGTATGGTGCATTGTTCCGCAGGTACCGCTAACTTACTTGTAAAGATTACTCGTCAACAAGTACGTCGATAAGACGAGGAATAAACCATTGCTACATATTATGGGAAAACCTTTTAGTTCAACGTACTGTAAGTTATTCTTTGTATCGACTTAGAATAATTAGGTATCTCAAAAGAAAAGCCACTTCACGGTAACGGTACTTAAAATCCAATTGTTGCATACTCCGTTACAAATCTTCCGACGATAATCAAGTAGCACTGACTGATTTATAGAGAATGTAGAACGTGGTATCTTTCTAAAGAAATATGATTGACAAAAAAGCTGTTACGGCATTAACGTGACCTTGTCCGTGCTTTCACTATATTGACAATGAACTGAGATAAACATTCTAGTTGATGTAGCTACTGGTTAAAGAAAGCCGAACTCGTTTCATTACGGCTACATAGATGAAGCACCGTTTGATAACGAAGCCATTACTGCGATAATTGCCTCCCAATGAGGACCGCCCATCTCACCCGTCTGCGATACTTTACTACTTAGAGTACTGCAAACGTATTTAATCATGCTGACATGACAAATGGGGTGCTAAATATAGAAGAAAATTGCGCAAGGCAATGGTGATCTTAATTGTTCGTGTTAGATACAATAAAAGCGTATTTCTTAATGGTTTTATCCTATTGTGAGATATAAAGAAAGGTCAATGGGACCCCTCGGCGAACGACAATACTACAGAGTTGTGCTTAATAGAATAAATTGTACACCAGTGCTAGTTATACCATTTGTTAAGTTAAGCAGAATAGTTTTCTAAAAAAGGCAAGTCATATCACTGAAAAT